AGTTTATCAAAGCAGAGTTTATCCATTGGAGGTGGTGAATACTGGATATGAATCTCAATATGAATTTCAAAATCTGGATATGAATTTGTATGGACTGATAGTCCTACTTTTTACTTGGCTAAGGGTACAGCATATATGCATGATAGAAGAATCCTGTATATTTTGGCCACTACCAGCAATTTCACACAGAATATGAAATGTAAGTTTGAGGAGCAGGTTGCAAGCTTCTAGAAGTTCCCAGCTTCTCCTGAGGTTCTACAGAGGTAGAATTATCTGAAAGGGAGCGGAAGTGAAAATGAAATCCTTTCCATAATAATTCTACTGCATTGGCCCCTTCTCTGACCATATTAGATCCTAGCTAGAAGGAGAAGGTCAGGTTTTGTCTCCAAGGCTTAGAGCTAACCCTTTCTGAAGACACAGGGACAGCAGTAATGGTGATAATGCTGTTTAAGCATTTGTCATGTTTGTCTTACTAGGTTCTTTATATACGGTATCCAAGTTATAACTTCTACCCAAAGAGATTATTCAACTTATGCTTGAAGAACTGGAAATGATGTAACTTACTTCAGGTTACATAGTGACCATGTAACCAAGCGGGCTATACAAACTCAAGCCTTTGAAGCTTCAGAGGCCATGCCTTGTCACACATCCTCAAGTGTGATGCTCCAACCCATGAGCATCCTATCAGAACACTTGAAGGAAAAAACTGCTGCTTCAGTTTTTCACTTTGAGAAAAGTGATGTTAGAGAAGGCTGGATTCAAAAAGATATAAAGGAGATCTACCATTCCACCTACAAGTTTAGGGTCCTTTCTGCAATATAAACCAGAGTGGGGGAAAATTTGTGTTCAGTATCTAATTTTAAAGAGTTGCTATTGAGTTGTCTTAAATAAAATTTAGGACCCTACCATCACCTAGTACTGTAAAGATACTGGACTTTAGACAAGTGGGCTGAACTCCAATTTCCATCCGAGCCCTAGAGGACTCATTCCTACCCCAGGAATATCTTTGATTTCTACTTGGTGACCTTAGAATAGCTTCAGATACCAGGAAGGCCAGATGCAAGAAACAAGAGGACTTGGACACAAGGGATTAGGACTCAGTTAATGGGTCTGTTCCTTCCCTCTGGACCAACTCTGGCATGCCAGGAACAGCTGCGCTTAAGTTTAGATTCTGTGCTCATCCTTCTGGGACAAAGCCTGCTATTAGTTTCTATATTGAGGGAAGTGGGGAGGCTCAGATCCCAGATGGAATTCCCCAGACACCTGAGCAGAGTGCTTATAAGTGCAAGGTCTCTGAGGCATTTGTAGAGCTCCAGGCTCTTACTGACAGGACACAGCCCAGGTAAGAGGATCTTACGAAGAATGATATAGAGAAAGAATAGGGGTCATAGGGAAGAGTCCCCAGCTTATAAGGATGTACAGACCTTGGGGAGCCAACTTAGCTCGTGTGCCTGTAAGTCTAAGGCAAGACTCAGGAAAGGGATTCTCTGGGAAGGGGATTTAGAAAAGGTGGAGTCCACACAGAGCCACAAACAAGAAGTCTGATGAAGCCTCTAGTTCACTAATGCCAATTTTTACAAGACCCTTTAATACACAGCCATGTTCTTTAAATAGGCGCAATAATTTCTTATTCAGCAGAGCCATATACTGTGCTAGCACATGACTTCTAGTAAAAGACAGGCAAGATCACCACCCTTTTAGAGCTTACTCTGCTTGGGGAAACATACATCAGAAGACAATTCAGAGAACTATTCAGGCAGTACAGAAATAGGGCCCAAACCCAGAATCAAGTCAAGGTTCACTAAGAAGTGTGTATCTAAGCTATGGCAAGGTGAGTATGTAAGGATCCACTAGGTGAGGGAGGAAGGAAGAACGTCATTTCAGTATCAGGAAAGAACATGAATTATTCTCAGAGGCAAAAGGACATGTTGCAGCTGGGAAACAAAAATGCAGTCTTATTGGAAGGTAGTAAGAAGGGTGAGAAACAGTAAAAGCCATGACAGGTTTAGTGGATGTGTTTGGACACATCATTATGCTCACACCATCCCTGCACAGAAGCTGCAGTAGACTACTATATTTAAGGTATGAGAACTGCTCCTGACAAAGGAGGTATGAATTAAAGAGCTAGTCTCAGTGTTGGGGTCTTAGAGGAAAAGATAGGGGTCAAAAGTTTATCCCAAGAGTGGGTCCTCTCCATGTAAGCAGCTGAAGTGCATCTCTCCAGTCAAGGATATCCTATTCAGTTTCATGATGTGCTCCCAGGAATGAATAGGAAGAGATGAAATGGAGGTGTCCATCAGAAAACAGCCCTGTATGCTGTCAGGTATGAGAAAGGAAAGTGAGAGAAGATAAATTCGACCTTCTCCAGAGTTTCAGGTCACTCCAGAGGACATCTGACGTGGCTGTAACAAGGTCTGTGACACCAGAGGCCTATTGGATTTCATGAGAAGTCACTTCCTCTCATGTCCACAATTCACCAGGTACACACTTAGTCTCATCTGTGATTTGTGCCTTTAAGATTCTCCTACAACATCATCTCTGCACAAACCTAGAAGGGAGCCACTTGCCAGGGAAATAGCAAAGGGGTTCAAATTGCTTTAGAAGGAAAGATGAACCCTGAAACAGCTTTCATACCAATATAGGAGGAGTAATAGCTGTACTCAGGAATCATGGTAAAACAAAAATCTACTTGGTAGAGTCCTGCTAATTTTACCATTCAAGAGCTCTCCATTTCTAGAGTAGAACAAAACTTTTTCATATTACAGCTTTGCTCAGGATACCATTCAAGCTATAAAATCCATTTGATTCGACATAGAAGTAAAATAGACAAGACCCCTTTATTGTAAATCTTAGTATCAGAGGAAAGAGTATCTGGCCAAATTGCCTTGAGTTTATAGCTCCTTTGCCTTTAGAATTATTTCTGTGACTTGTCAACTTTCAGATTCTGTGCTCTACTGAGGAAGCAGTTTTCTTGTCAAGAGACAATGCTGGGTAAAGATTATATACTGTTTGGATCTGGTCTGACATATTCATGAAAGAACAAGTGGCATAGTCAAAGGGCATTTGAAGGGACTATATGCAGAGACATAGGAAGAGTTAAGGAGCTTGACAAGGGATGGGAGGCACTAGGACCAACAGTGGCACTTCTTAGCCCAGAGCTGACCAGGTAAAGCAGGGCATGGTTACCAGGACACAGAAAGGGTCACTTCAGGAGCTGGGGCCTTTGGCAGAAGACCAAGACACTGCCAAAAGGGAAGTGGCAGGCAGGAAGGGAACTAGACAGTAAGTCTCTGATCACTGGTTTTACCCTCTTATCTAATGTTAGTGCCTCACATTGACTGAGCCCCCCTGGAATCTAGAGGATAAGGGAATCTGGGTGATACAGCTTGTGAGTATAATACTTCTGGGACATAGAACAGGAATCTATGCAAATGGAGAACCAGCATATAGGTTAAGGAAGCCAAACCAGCCACCTTCCAACTAAACCCATCACCCTATTCTAGCTGATGGCCTCACAGGCCAGTTCCTGTGTACTCCTTTTCTTCCTAGCTCCAATGATTCAGCCTTTTTATCTTCCCTCTTCACAGCTACTGCAAACCTATGTCCACTTATAATCTTTGAGAATCTTAAGGTGAGCCCAGCTTAAGAAGCTTTATGGAATAATGTCAATAGGCTTACAGCAGTCATCCTCCCGAGCACTACAGCTTCCTGGAGATAGACATTCTAGAGTCCTTTGATGTTTGAATATTTTTGGCTTTGCATGTTAGTCTCAACAGAATAAAGAGCTAATGCTTAGTGTTACTGTCAGACCCTGCATTTTCATTTAGACATGACAACTTCTGTAGGCCACAGCCTTAAGTCTGTTGCAAATTGAGGTTAGTCGTATTTCACTAATGGGATAAAGCAGTTCACCTAAGCTCCCAATGCCAAGATCTGAAGACAGACCTAGAAAGGTCCTAAGCCCAGACAACCGACTATTCTACTGTAGTCAACATAACTAGGCTCAAGACGTAGAGTATTAAACTTCTCACTTCCTTTCACATTCCTCTGATCTCTAAGGAACAAATTCTGGTACGATCTTTTGGACAGAGGAAAAAAAAAAAACACAAATCGGAGATAACACAAATTGTTTTCATGTATTTTCTTTAAATTGGTATCTTGTTAGTGAGTTGCCCTGGACTCTGAGTAAAGATGTTTCATCACCAAATGTTTGTATCCTAGGCTTCACACCACTCTGCACTGAGTATCTTCTTCCTCCCTGCTGATAACCCTGTTTCTGGAGTCTTATCTTCATATTCAGCCTTCAGAAAGGGAGGAGGCTCTTGCCAGGCTTTGCCTTTGGGCATCAAATATGCATGAAGTGAGCTTTGATTAGCTTTTATCTTTCAGAAATCACTTTGTTTCCACCCTCTGGAAGGTCCCTTCCACCCTCTGGAGGTCCCATTTTTACCATCCCAAGTCGCTGCTTTGTGACTCTGGCCTACAAATTAGACACTTCAGCTCATCCAGTAGTCAATTTTGGTCCCAGGCTTAAGCTTTCATTTACCATTAGAGCCTAGATAGTTCCAGGAGTCTCTGACCCTCTGATACTTCAATGCATCTCCTTTTCTTTCAAGGAACTCTGTACTCTAAAGCCTTCCAATATTATCTCAAGAGTCATCTCATAGCTACATGCAGTGGTAAATAACCAAATAGATATTTGCTTTAGGTCAATTCATTCAGTGATGCAAGAATATCAACACCTTGAAGTCATACTGCAAAGAGATGTATTACATTCAAATGAGTGTTTTGGCTTGTGCTTGGTAAGATTGTGAATATTTTAGTATGATGTGACACTGACATTCTACAATTTCTTCTAAGGATGACTTATTATCTAACATCTAGTCAGTGATCCTATTCCCTATTATAGGGCCTTAGAGTAAAATATTTTCTTTTGTTTCCAGGAAAAACACCCTGCTGCATTTAGTGGTACAAGTGAGAAGGTTCACATATAAATAGCCATGCTCAATTTTCATAATGTCTGCTCAGTACCCAGCTCCTTCTGGCTCACTGGCATCCCAGGGCTGGAGTCCCTGCACATCTGGCTCTCCATCCCCTTTGGCTCCATGTACCTGGTGGCTGTGGTGGGGAATGTGACCATCCTGGCTGTGGTAAGGGTAGAGCGTAGCCTGCACCAGCCCATGTACTTTTTCCTGTGCATGTTGGCTGCCATTGACCTGGTTCTGTCTACTTCCACTATGCCCAAACTTCTGGGAATCTTCTGGTTTGGTGCTGGTGACATCGGCCTGGATGCCTGCTTGGGCCAAATGTTCTTTATCCACTGCTTTGCCACTGTTGAGTCGGGCATCTTCCTTGCCATGGCTTTTGATCGCTACGTGGCCATCTGCAACCCACTACGTCATAGCATGGTGCTTACTAATGCAGCGGTGGGTCGTTTGGGGTTGGTTTCCCTCCTCCGGGGGGTTCTCTACATTGGACCTCTGCCTCTGATGATCCGCCTGCGGCTGCCCCTTTATAAAGCCCATGTCATTTCCCACTCTTATTGTGAGCACATGGCTGTAGTTGCCTTGACGTGTGGCGACAGCAGGGTCAATAATATCTATGGGCTGAGCATTGGCTTTCTGGTGTTGATCCTGGACTCAGTGGCTATTGCTGCCTCCTATGTGATGATTTTCAGGGCCGTGATGGGGCTAGCCACTCCTGAGGCCAGGCTTAAAACCCTGGGGACATGCGGTTCACACATCTGTGCCATCCTGATCTTTTATGTTCCCATTGCCGTTTCTTCCCTGATTCATCGATTTGGTCGCTGTGTGCCTCCGCCAGTTCACACACTGCTGGCCAACTTCTATCTCCTCATTCCTCCAATCCTCAATCCCATTGTCTATGCTGTTCGCACCAAGCCGATCCGAGAGAGGCTTCTTCAAATCCTGAGGATAGAAAGGAAGATTAGCTGATTGCTATTTTCTTCTCAACTAAGCTCATAGAGAAGGTGTTTAAATATGGTAGGCTGCTTCCTGTTGGGAACTTTACAAACAGTTTGAGATATTAGGCCCTGTCGTCTCCAACTTTTATAGTTCCAAAGGAATACTAAGAAAGTATACAACTCTAAGTCCTAAAGGTGGAAAATATAAAACTTATGATTAAAAGATATTTGAGCTCAAAGAAGGTAAACCAACAGTAACAGCAACAAACTGCTAACATTTAGCATTGTGTCATGTAACTCTTGGAAATATCCTGACATGAAGTATTGTTTATATTTTATGAGGAAATGGGACAGAACACCCTTGCTCTATGAACTGCATACAGTTACTTAAGCTGCCTTGCTCCACGTTTTGGTTGGAGTTTGTAATACATTGTTACATATTAATACTTTCTACTCTTTGTTTCCTGTATATCTTTTTAGAGGTAAATTCTAAAAACTAAATCATTTAATTGATGTTTCCTTAGCTACAAGATACTTCCTGAGTTTAGCTTCTAGTGATTGAGATGCTGTTCAAACTGTTGGTAATAATGTGTTCTAGAAGACTTATTTGTATGCCCAGAAGATTTGGGGATACTTATGAAAGAGAATGTGGCCCCCCAAAATTTGTCAGGTCAATGAAGGAAAATGAGACAAGATTACGTCTCAACATTGCCTTTGTTGTATTCTCTGCGGGCTTGAGACATATGAGGGCTCTGTGGAAACAAGCCTTCCTTTTCCCACAGAAACACTCCCAAACCCTGATCCATCTGTAGGATTCCTGCTGACAGTTCTAATCCTTAAAATGAATCAGCATAAATTGTGAGTTATACAATTTATAAAGACACTGACTTCATCGTGCAGATTAAATGTTAGCGCAATAACTAGAATGTAGTTAATGTGAATAAAGTATTTAGTTACTATTGACAGAATTGACATAGTCCTCATTTCCACGCTGTAAGGTAAGAATTACTCCATTTTGCAAATGAAGCAATTGAGTTCCCAGAAGTGATATAATTGCCCAAGGTCACTCAGTGAACAACAATGAAACCAGGGATTCAGCCAAGTTTGTTTTTAAAGCCCAAAAGCTTCCAGCCTCTGATCTACGTTTTCCTTAACTAAGGAAAGGTGCTGAAAATTTCCTGGAGGTCTGAGTTTTCATGCACTTAAAGTTCCCAACACAGCAGACATTAGCTACATTCATTATTTCTGAAGCCAGATCCAAAAGAAGTCGTCTTTATAGTACTGCTTCCAAAGGAAGGACAAAATGTAAAATTAGTGAACAGACTTAGATTTACAACTCCATACAGTCAGGAAATTTTTGAATACACTAGTCTTTAGGTATATACCAAATCATGTAATTGGGCATGACAGAAAGGAGTAGTCAGGTGCAAAGGAAAGAGTTCTGCATGAAACTATAGAAACTGCTTTCTAGTTTCTCTTTGGCTAGTCCAAAGAATGGAAACCACTCCACTATTGAGGTACCTGGAATGTGTGATCATTTAGGGATCCAATTACATGCATCTCTAACTTCCATCCTCTCACACCATAGTGAGCTTTCCTTAAACTTTCGTCCCAGTTTAGAGAATGAGTGTTCTCCCTATGAATGGAGAACAATCATAAGATGCGTCTTCTGCTTTACCTATCTCCCGCCATGGTTGGGAACCAGAGGAAGACTTTTGGAATCAGTGCAAAGTATGTGCTCACAAGCTGTCTACAGAGCAGGGGTGAAAGGGCAAATCACAGTGACCCAGAATGACCTCTGATGAAATTTTAAAATGTCATCTAGTAAGGTTAAACTAAGAAATCTCGCTGTTCTCCCACCGCACATCTTTTTTTCCCCTGGAGGAAAGTATACTGGAAGAAAGTAGACATAAGTTGGAACCCGATTTATGGAATTTCAAGAAATTCAGCCTATCATGTGAAAGAATCATGTCTTCATTCTCCAATAGTTGTGCAGTCTGTGTCAGATTATAAAATACCATGTTCCTATAATTCTAGCTTTCGTATATTGTTATACAGAAGTTGTGAAATCTAAATGTAGCCAAAGGACATTATGTTTGTCACCTAAAGTGAAATAACTTATGAAACATATAAGAAGCCATGAAAATTATTGTGGCAACCTTTAATTGTATCTTCCATATCTTCTACAGCGAATGCAGTTGACTGACAGTTTTAACTGCTGCCATCTAAACTATCACCATGCTTCTACTGAGGCCACATTTCCCAGAAGCTGTTCCCAGTGGTCCAGCATGATAGGGACCTAGAATAGGCCCACCTGGGACTGTACACTTCTGACAGGGAACTATGACTCCAAGACTCTCACATGGAACTTCTAAAAGTTTCAGCAAGGCCAAGTTTAGCGATAATTCCTTAGCCTCTCTCAATCCTTTACAGAAGTCAGGCTGGCATTTACCATTAGTGCTCCCAACCTCCTCCGGCTCCCTCCCTGATTCTCCTTCACAAGCATATTCTTCAGTAAAATACTAAGATGAGATTAGATCCAAGATCTTAGAGTTTATTGGTTTCTTCTAAGTTACACTGGTGCCCCTGCAGAATAATGAAGTGGAGAGCTCTTAAACAATTAATGGATAAGGCATGAGAACTTAAGGTTCTCCTTCTAAGCAACCAAAGAAAGTCCCCTGCAATGATGCACAGCTGAAAAGCAGACTAAAGACAATTGTTACAAGCACACAGAAATGTTTGAGAGCTCAGGAAAGTGTTATTCTAAAGTCAGAGCCATATTTAGGAAAACCTGAGACACTGAAACATGGCATGGGAAGGGATGCCCTTGAGGATGTTGAAACTGTAGATACCCTAAATGCTTTGGGCTTTCAGTGGTAACGACTTTTCTCTAGTAAAAAGTAACACTTTGGTGCAGCAACAGGTATTCCCTCAGGAGCTGCTCTCACCTCTTCTGGCTGCCAGGGTAATACATAGGGTTAAGGACAGCGTATTCTTGCTGAGAACAGGCAGGGCTGGATAAAGAAGTAACTGTACAATAGAATTGTTTTTAGAGTTAACTAACATATGTTCCTTAGCAAAGGCCCCACCCTCAAGCCTGGAAACCCACAGCCCTAAGTGGGAATAGGCATTCCTATTTTTGCATCAAAAGTTGCCTTTTGGCCTGCCATACCCCCTCTATCCTGTACCCTTATAAACCCCAGACCCCACAAGCAGGTGAGGAGATGAACAGAAGAGCAGAAGAATGGCACAACAGCATAGCAGCGAGAAGAGAAGCAGCATCTGAACACCAAGAGGAGTCTGGCTGGAGGTGGTCAGAGAAGAGATTGGCCACTGGGTGGCCAGACTCCAGGGGAAGATTGTGTTCCCATTCCATCCCCTTTCTAGCTCCCCACCCATCCCACTGAGCATACTGTAACACACGCTCACTTGGGCTTCAGGAGTCGCAGGCTTCCACCTCGGACACTGCTGTGGGGCTGGAGCCAAGGTGTGCTTGCCCGACTCCTGTCCATCTGTGTGCTTTCTCTCCCATAAGGGGTTTGAACACACACAGCATCCAAACAGATGAGCAACAGCCTTGTCACATGTCCTGCAATGGGGGTCAGGGAACTCTTTCATCTAGGGGCTTGTTTGGGATAAAAAAAAACAACAAGTAAAACAGAACTGTCAGATCTGTCTTTTCCATAACCCTGCCAACTCTTCCCTGTAATCAATAGGAATACTGACTCTGTTTCCCTTCACAGAGGTCTGGCTGTCACATGGGACTGGAGTAAACCCTTGGGGCAACCAAAGGCATCTTTTGCTGGAAGACTCCAAGACTGAACTCCATTGGCCAGGAACCCCAGACTTTGTTATATCTTTTTCACAGTTTGAAATGGCTCCTCTCTCTTCTTTTATAATGTTAACAGTTTTGCTACAGCTGCGGCAACGATGGCATTTGGCTCAGCCAAAGGTGTAGTTCAGAACCATGTGGTCTGTTCTTAGAAGTGCCATCCCCAGCCCCATCTCAACAGCTGCAGGTACAGGTGGTGCATGATGCCTTCCCTCCCAGCTCAAGTGCCTTCGTGTGTCCTGCAGCACGCACAAGCCACATCCAATGCCCACAAAGGGTGGGAGAAAACTGCAGCTGCTGCTGGGGTCCTGCATGGAGGTTCTTCCCACCAGACCTCCCCCTTTTGCCCCTAAGCTGTGTTTTTTCCCTTCCCCATTTTCTTTTTTTTCCCCTTCTCTAAGTGAGAGGGCTCCTTTCCCCAGCATTCTGCTTATGCTAGAAAAAGTGGAGTGACCCCCTGCAGGCTAGTAATTGCAAATTTCACAAGGCCCATTTGAGACTTCAACAGATAAATGCAGATCCTGAAATAATTTTGTCCCCAACTCAATTCCAGGCTTCAGGTTGAGGCCCTAGAAAGGAAAACCAGATCTGAGGAATCCAAAGCCAGGCGACAGGCACAATGTAAACAGGCAGAACAAATGCCTGCTGACTAAACCCCTGCATCAGGGAAGGAGGCCGTGTTTCATGGCATAAAGGCCCAGGAAACTCAAAGGTTGCCGACAGTAGGGAAAATAAAGGCACAGGTAAGGGTGGCTAATTCTTACCCTCCAGGTGCCCCTGCATCATGGGTGCAAATTGCAATGGCAGCCATCTGTCTAGGGTCACTGGGACTTGGGAACAACAACAACAACAAAAAAGGGAATGCCTTTCTTTCATCCTCACGCCACAAGTTTTTGGTGAAAGAGGGAAATGAGCAATGCCTCTGTTTTCCTTTCTCTCTGAATGGGCAACCAGCTCTCTTCACCATCCCTAGCTTATACTCCTCTAGAGTGTATCCTGAACCATTGGGACTGCTTTAACCCTCAATATCTGAAGGAAAAATCCTCATAGCCCTCTGTACATAGGTTTGGCCAAATTATAAAGGACTGGCTTGGGCTCAGGAGTCATTTATTTCAATACTATTGGGCAGTTGGACCTTTTTATACAGGCAAGAGAACAGGTGGTCTGAGGCCCCATATGTACAGCCTTTCTATACATTT